TAATTGGGGAGGTTAATTAGTTAATTAGGTAATTAATAACGGGATTGGAACTGGTATAAAAGCTGGGATTAAATCTGGGATTAAATCTGGGATTAAATCTGGGATTAAATCTGAGATTAAATCTGAGATTAAATCTGATCCTGATCCCAATCCTGAGACACCAGGAGACGAATGACTTCTGATTGGGGGCATTAATTAATTAATTCGTTAATTAATACCGGCATTGAACCTTGGATTAAACCTTGGATTAATTAATTAATACCGGGATTAAATCTGAGATTAAATCTGAGCCTGATCCCAATCCCGAGACAGCAGGAGACAAATGACCTCTGATTGGGGGCATTAATTAATTAATTAGTTAATTAATTCCAGCATTGAACCTTGGATTAAACCTCTGATTAATTAATTACTACCAGGATTAAATCTGAGATTAAATCTGAGATTAAATCTGATCCTGATCCCAATCCTGAGACACCAGGAGATGAAGAACCTCTGATTGGGGAGATTAATTAGTTAATTAGTTAATTAAACCTGGGATTAAACCTCAGATTAAACCCGAGTCTAAATCTGATCCTAATCCCAATCCCAATCCTAATCCCAAATTTTTAGGATTATTTTTTCCAAGTTTTTTGGGGATTTTTTTCCCATTTTTCAGCATTTTTTCCTCCCATTTTTTTTAGGATTTTTCCTCCCCAATTTTCAGAATTTCCCCCAAATTTTTTGGAATTTTCCCCCCAAGTTTTTGGGGATTTTTTTTCCAATTTTTAGGATTTTTCCTCCCATTTTTTGGGATTTTTTTCCCCCCCAATTTTTAGGATTCACCCCCAAATTTTTCTGAATTTTTCTCCCATTTTTTTTTTAATTTTTCCCCCAATTTTTTTAGGATTTTTCCCTTTTCCCCCAATTTTTTTTTTTACATTCCCAATTTTTTTCCACCTCCCTCATTCCAATTGTCCAGAAACCCCCAAAAATTCCTAAAAATTCCAAAAAAATTCCCAAAAATTCCCAAATTTCCTCACCCAGGTGTCCATGATTGGCAGCCTCGTGCAGGGGGGTCCAACCACAATAATCTCGAGCATTTATGGGGTGACCCTAAAAAAAAAATATATAAAATAAAATAAAATTAAATAAAATTAAATAAAATTTGGGGAATTATTTTTCATCCCAAATTTTTTGCGATTTTTTTTCCCAATTTTTTGGATTTTTTTCCCAATTCTTGGGATTTTTTACCCAATTTTTTGGGATTTTTTCCCCCTATTTTGGGGATTTTTTTTCTCAATTTTCTGGGATTTTTTTTCCCAATTTTTTGGATTTTTTTTCCCAATTTTGGGGATTTTTTTTCAATTTTTTTGATTTTTTTTTCCCAATTATTGGGGTTTTCTTTCCAATTTTTGAGATTTTTTTCCCCCAATTTTTGGGACTTTTTCCCCCGATTTTTGGGATTTTTTCCCCAATTTTTGAGCGTTTTTTCACCCAATTTTTGGGATTTTTC